TCTTTTAATTTCATCCACTCCTTCAACAATTTCTCAATTTTAATCCTGTAAAAATATTATTTAACAGTATAATTATGGAATAAACATGGATTATAATAATTTAGAATTTATTTAAAATATTACTTAAGCTTTTGTATTGTAAGCACTCTAAATCCACCAAATATCCAAGGAGCCATTAATTTGGACAGTATGCAGCAGTCGGACTGATCAATTGGATAATTGGGTATAAAAGAAGAACTTTTGTTAGGACAACCTAAGAACTTTACTAAGAACTTCACTTTTTCTTCACACTTTGATTTTCATAGAAAGAGATAATATTGAATTTTTTCTTTATCTGTTGAAACTTTTTTTGTTTGAAGTTTTTCGATCAACTTTTTAACTAAAAATATTTTATCCAATCTAATACTTTTTTTTTTTGGTGGCATTTTATTAATTATTTAAGTATATAATCTAAAAAAAATGAATATGAAATATATTTCAAGAAAACATATTAATTACTGAAAAAATTTAAATCTTTATTTAAAAAAATATTTAAAAAATGTGCAAATCTGTAAATATAATTTTATTAGCTAAATATTTATGAATTTTAGGGAGCCCATTTTATTTAGATTAAATGGTTCTTAACAAACATAAATATAAAAATAAATCAAAAATTTTAATGTCAATACTTCCTACTAACAGTATATATATATATTATATATATATATATATATATATATATATATATATATATATATATATATATATATATATATATATATATATCAATCTTTTAGAGGTCGGCAAAAAAAATTGATACAAAGGTCTTACCATAAAACAAGGTCGGCAGTATTTGCCAACCTCAAACACTTTTAGGTCAGCAGTTAATGCTGACCCTGATTCTGAGGGTTATATATATATATATATATATATATATATATATATATATATATATATATATATATATATATATATATATATATATATATATATATATATATATATATATATATATATATATATATATATATATATATTTGATACTAAGTATTGATGATATCATACTGAAATAGGGAGCTGTAGGAAGTTTAGTCATATCGACAAAAACTTTTTTTTTTATTGTAACTTTTTTTTTATCTGTTTAGTTAAGTTGGAATTTTAAACTTTAAGTGTGCAAAATATATTAGAATAGTAACAGTCTAAATATGCAAAAATAATCATGTACACACTATTTGTTTATTTTTTAAACATCTGGTAATAAAGATTAACTTCTGTCTAATAATTTTATTGATGCAAAAATTCAAAGTATTTAACAAGTTCTTTAACTTAAATAAAGTTTTAATTTGCAGAAGGCAAGTATACAAAGTGCTAGAATCTGCTAGAATTGAAACTCCACGTTATGCTATATTTGAGCGTGATGACAATAACCAGCCAGTTTTAGGACAAGAAATTATTGAGTCTGATGATATTATTATTGTAAATGGAGTGACATTTAAAAAACCATTTGTTGAAAAACCTGTTGATGCAGAAGATCACAATGTTTTTATTTATTATCCATCTTTTGCTGGTGGTGGTTGCCAAATTTTATTTAGAAAAAATGGCAATGAAAGTAGCATGCATTCACCTCGTAGTCATATCCGAAGAAATGGCTCCTTTATATACGAAGATTTTATGCCCACAAATGGAACTGATGTTAAGGTAATTAAAATTTTAAATTGTTTTAAAACTTGAGCGTATTTTCAATATTTATAAGTTTATATATATATATATATATATATATATATATATATATATATATATATATATATATATATATATATATGTATATATATATATATATATATATATATATATCAGGGGCTATTCTAGAAAAAAAAATTAGGCGGTTGTAAACCCTTCCCCTCCCCTCCTCCATCCCAGCGAAGTTTAGCGGAAATATTGCCGAAAAAAAGTTGTTGTTTTTTTTCAAAAAAAAAACAAACAATATTTAACATAAAAAAATAAAGGAAAAAAAAAAGGTCCTCAATTTTAAATTTAGTCTGCGCATAAATACAGTTAACGCTGTTGAAAACAGTCTAGAATAGCCCCTGTATATATATATATATATATATATATATATATATATATATATATATATATATATATATATATATATATATATATATATATATATATATATATATAACATTATGCAATAAAAATTAAATAGCTCTCTACTAAATAGAGAAAAAAAAAACTTTGTTAAATTTAGTTTTTTTCCGGAAATAAGATAAAATCTTTAAATCATTATCAGATATAATTATAAATTTAGTTAGCCTTAAAGCCCTAGATTAACATTAGGTAGAATTTATATAGGACTGTGTTTCATTATATTAAAAAAGATATTATTTCATTCTTTTAAGAAAGTTGACTTATACATTATAAAAACCATGTTTATAAAAATGATTGAAGTAATCAGGGATTTAAATTAACAATTTATATATTAAATTGTTTTTAGAATTATAAATTATACTGTTGTTAGAATAAAAAACATAAATGATATCAATATATTCAATTGTTGTTAAAAATTATGAATTAGATCGTTAAGGAAAATATATTAAAATTACAGAGAAATTATAAATTTATGTTTCAAAAAAAGATTTTTGTGAACAAAAAACTTTTCTCAACCTTTTTAAACTATGTTTTATTACAAATTGGTTGAAATATGAAAACTTATCTTATAAATTTTTCAGGTTTATACAGTTGGAGGGGAGTATGCACATGCAGAAGCACGAAAATCACCTTTTCTTGATGGAAAAGTTGATCGCACTAAAGATGGTAAAGAAGTTCGTTATCCAGTTATCTTGAATCGATTCGAAAAGACTGTTGCTCACAAAGTCTGCCGAGCATTTAAGGTTTTCATTATTTTATTAAGTGAGAATTTTTAAGAATTTTTATTAAAAAAAAAAGAAATTTAATTTCTGTGTAATATGCACTTGAATTTAATATTAAAGAGTTGAATGCAAAGTTCTTACTTTTAAAAACCTTGATTAAGGTATGTAAGTAGTGATTAAGGTATTTGAACTTGTTACTACTATGCTTTTAATATTTATGTAAAGATAATAAAAAGAATATAAATAATGAAAAGTCTTTTTGATTGCTTAAAACATCTTGAATGTGATCTCTATTTTGCAACAGCTTGAGCCTTAGAATGGTTAGTGAATTTGTTCCTAAACATAACTCAGTTGTTTACTGTTGATAATTGTTGATATTTTTATGTTGATGAGTACCAACACTCTCAATTCTCTACTTTAAATACTCTGATTACATTTCTTCACTAACCTCATATAGAAATACTTGATCTATTGCAAGGCCAACATCTGCTGTTTATGTTAGTGAGTTTCAACATTCTCACTCAATTCTCTACTTTAAATAATCTGGTTACATTTCACTACTAACCTCATATAGAAACATATACTTTTATCTATTTCAAGGTTAGCATTGGTTAAGATTGCTTTTTTTATTGGGTTATATTAGTAAATGGCTCTTACCGAAACCCTCTACTTTATGTCTTCTTGAATCCTCTTACAAACAGAGATTAACCTTTTATTCAGAGATTATCCAGAATTCCAGATGTTTCTATAATTATTGATATTTTTTTCAACTTATAACTTTCCCGGATATCCAAAATATTTTCTATATATACAAGTTTTAGGTATAAATTTTTGTAATATATTTGTTTTTTAAGCTTTTTCACTCATCATTAATAGAAAAATAAAAAAAAAGTTTGAAAAAAAAGTTAGAAATGTCTCAGGTAAAAGCAAAATTAAGAGAAAAGTAAGAGAAAATATATTCTGGGTTTTTTCCTAATATTTTACCCAAACAATTTTCCAGATTTTTAAAATATGAAGATCTATATACAAACAACTAACCTCATAGAGAAACATATACCTAATCCATTAAAAAGTTAGCATCTGCTAAGGTTGCCTCTTTTTATTGTGCCAATTTTTTTACTCCTGGTTTCGTTTTATTATCCTTTAATGCTGTTCTTTATTTTCTAATATATCTCAACTTAAAAAAAACAACTTTGTTGTTGATATTTTTATCAATAGGATATTGGTATTGAAAAAATTTGACCATATTATTAGTTGTATTGTTTTCTGCATTTTTTTTTTTTTAATGCTAAGGTGCTAAAAGCTATTTTACAAGTAGAAATTAATGCTAATAAAATTCTTTCTGAGTGGTTTCATTTTTTTTTTTTTTTTTCCATTCACTGTTCATAAATTTGTGACTGAATGGTGTCTGTTTTTGAATACCAATATCTATCCATACTGTAATAATCCATCTACTTTGTGCAACTTTAGTGCCAGCTCTGAGAAAAAATTTTCTTGTCATCAGACACTTTTATAACCAGCTTCATTTTTTATTCATCATTTATTTTCTAATTAAGACATTCTTGAGGAGTTATTTGAAATTAGACAATCTTGTATCATTAAATTTTTGATCATTTATTTTCTAGTTAAGAAATTCTTGAGGAGTTATTTTGAAATTAGACATTCTTGAGGAGTGATTCGGAAGTGTTTTAAACACAACCAGACTGGCCTTTGAATTCTATCAGATGAAAGATTACAACAAAACTATCTGGACTAGAAAATCACTTGGAAACTATTTCTATTTTACTGAAGATTAAGAAAACAAAACTTGAATCTAATTAAACTCTGGAACCAACACATAAATCATGTCATGCAAATATTTCCTTAATGACTAATCTGATTTATCTATGATTATATCTAATATGATAATTTTTGTGTTATAAGTCGACTGTTGTGTGATAATTAGTCTGTGTTTTGACTCAGTTTGTGATCTAGCTCAAAAAGCACAGATCTAGACAGTGTTTTTGGTCAGATCACAAATGTTGAAACCTGAGCTACACTTTAAGGACATGATCATTTTACTTATTAAAATTTTATAGGGCTAACCTTAAATGTGGCTGCATTGGGTTCAAATTAGGATTAATTAGTATAATGTGTTTACATTATGAAAAGCACCTAGAGACCTGAAATTTCCGTTTGTATTTTAAAATATTTTCTTAATTTTAGCAAACTGTTTGTGGATTTGATCTGCTGCGTGCTAATGGAAAATCTCTTGTATGTGATGTAAATGGGTTTAGCTTTGTAAAAACTTCTCAAAAATACTATGATGATTGTGCTCAGCTTCTTGCTGAGATTTTCCTCAAAAATTTAGTTCCTCCTGATCAAGAAACTGCAGTTGCATTTAAAGCAGAAGCAGAAAAAAAAGAAATGCTGGAGAATAATATAAAACCTGAAAAAGGTTTAGAATTACGCTGCTTGATTGCTGTCATGCGACACAGCGACCGCACACCGAAGCAAAAGATGAAGATGATAGTTTCACATCGATTGTGAGAATGACTTTTATTTTTTTATGTTATGACTTAAATATTTTTTTTTTAATGTAATATTGCTTTAACATTTTTTAATTTAAGATTCCATGATATTTTTTTAAAACATGGGGGTCTGGAAGATGGTTGCATTAAGCTAAAGAATCCAAGCCATTTGCATGAAATGTTAGACATATTTAGACGACTTGATGCTGAGTCTGATCCAAGTTTATTATCCACGGAAGATAGAATAAAACTCAACAAAATGAAAAGTGTTTTAGAAATGTTAGTTTTTTTAAATCTATTCTCATTTAATTGTAATTGTGAATAAATTATAAATAATGTTTAATTATGGGCATTTTCATTTAAATTTAATTTAGATAGTATTTTCTTATTTTGTTTTAACTAAAATCTGTAAAATTACAGGTATGGACATTTCAATGGAATCAATAGAAAAATTCAGTTAAAATCGATGTCAGACAAACGTAACATAGGGATAATTAGCAAGTTGCGAGGAAGGAATAAAGTAGAGCAACAGAAAGAAGGCGAAGAAAATAGACTAATTCTTATTGTAAAATGGGGGGGAGAGTTGACACCTTTTGGTAGAAAACAAGCTGAAGACCTTGGGAGGGCATATAGATGTCTTTATCCAGAAGGTATCTTTAGTTTAAACATTTTAATTAAAATTTTTATAATGCTAAATCATTGTATTGCATTGCAACTAGTCATATATCATTGTATATATAATTGTTCAACACCATGTTGGTTTGATTATTAAAAGGTTGAATGACTTTGCTAAATAAACAAGTTTGAATTGCAAAATGGTTTGCAGCCATTTTGATTTTTAAATTAAAATCCAAATTTATTTTTAATTTTTAAATTTTTATTGTTTTTGTTTTTAAAAAGGTAGTGCAATACCAGGTGGAGGCCTTTTAAGATTACATAGTACCTATCGACATGACTTAAAGATTTATTCCTCTGATGAAGGTCGAGTAAAAATGACAGCTGCTTCTTTTGCAAAGGTAAGTATTGAACAGATAATACAGTGTTTCTATTTATATGCTTTAGACCTATAAAATGGATCATAATAACTGATTAAAAATATAGCACTTAAGTATACTAATAAATTAGTTAACAAGCTAATCTATTTACTTAATTAGTTATAAATTGCTTATAAAACTTTAAAATTACAAAAGTTGATTACTTTAATAATCAATAAAACACAGTTCAAAATTTTCAGCAAAACTATTTGCTGGTAAATTCCTAATAAACATGCTTATGTTTAACTTCATGTTAACTAAAAGTTATGATGTAGCATGTTTTTTCATTCAAATATATTTGTTCAAAGTTTGTTTTACGCTTTAACTATTATGATGAATGTTTGATGTCCATAATACAAAACCAAACCTTTCTTCGTTAAAAAACTGAACTTTACTAAAACCTAATTACAATGACTTCTGTGCTTGGTCATTTTTGACCAGTAATTTTATCCAAACATTTATGGCATAAGATGCCTTTACTTTCACTTAGTTTTTGCGCAGTTTTGAAATTCAAGTTTTTTTTTTAATTTTTGTTACAAAAATCATATATATGTGTTATTTGATAAATAGTAATACTACAGTTGGTGTTTAAACTAAAATAAATAGGTTGCGAAAATTGGGCGTTCAAAAAAAAAAAAGATGCGCTGAAATTAAATTTCCCCAAAAATAAGGTAAAATAAGATAGGCATGCTAAGAATAAATTTTTTTTAATTTTTATCTTAAGTTGAAGTACTTAATATTTTTAATTTTTTTATGGTTTTATCTGTTTAGGGTTTATTAGATCTAGAGGGGGAGTTGGTACCAATTCTTGTGAGTCTTGTCAAAAATGATAAGTATGTTACTGGTATTCTTGATACGCCACCGAGTATAAGCGCAAACATGCAAAGGTATTTTTAAATTAAAATTCCATTAAAATGATGAATTAAATATTTTTGGTAAATTTTTTTTGTTAAGTACATGTTTACTTTGACATTTCTTGACATTTTCTAAAAAACAGTTTTGTAGAAGCTTATTTTCATTGGTTATAAACCTAGCCATTTACTTATTTTCATTGGTTATAAACCTAGCCATTCACTTAATATCAAAATAATATTTAAAGAGTAAACTTTCTAATTCAATATAAATTCAAAATTTTGTTATAAAGCTTTGTTAAAGTATATGTTAGTTAAAAAATTATTTCATTTTATTTAAACTCCTTAAATCTTACCTCAAAAAAAAAAAAAAAAAAAAAATGATAAATTAAAAAACCTGTTCTTACTCAAAAAATTTAGTGAATTGAACACTGACACTTTGACTAAATATTCGAGGGATTATAAACTGTCGACAAAAAGCTTGTCTTTATTTCACAATGAAACATTGATGACTAAATATTAACTAATATATATATTTAATATATTATAAGTATTTATAAATAAAGTATAAAACATAAAAAAATATATAAGACTATATATAATTTTAAAAAATCATAAAATATTCTTTGGTAAAATATTTTTCATTACAATTTGAGTTCTGTTTAAAAATTATTGGATGAAGGCTAATGATAAATGTATATGAGATATGTATAAATATATGATAAATGTATATGAGATATCTATAATAAATATATATGATAAATTTATGAGATATGTATAAACATACATGATAAATATATATGAGATATGTATAAGTATATATGATAAATGTATAAGAGAGGTATATGAACTTAAGTTGACATCAAAAAATTATACTTTTTTTTAAGTTGACATCAAAAAATTATACTTGAATTGACTTCAAGAAATTCCACTGACTCTGATCATTTAGCTTTATGTTTTAGAACTTTATAAAATTAATTATAAAATGAAGCTTTAAATACGTACTTTATAAAGATTATAAAATGAAGCTTTAAATACGTACTTTATAAAGATTATAAAAGGAAGCTTTAAATACGTACTTTATAAAGATTATAAAATGAAGCTTTAAATACGTAAAAACGCTCAATTTTTTTGGAATTTTTCTTACATACAAAGATTTATTAGCATTTATCGGAAAGTTTCTGAAATTGCGACGTTTCCCAAACTTATTGAATTTTAGTAATAGTAAATAGATTGTACAGAAGTATGTTTACTTCTGTACAATCTATTTACTATTACTTTTGATGTCAACTTAAATTTTTTTATATAATTTAAATATAGTTTTTTGATGCCAATTTAAGCTAAAGAAGATGGCTATTAAAAATATATTATCAGTAAAATTATATTTTCTTTATTAGAATTTATTTTTAAAAAAACTTTTATTCTCACATTCACTAATTAAATGATTATTACAAAAGATGATCATCAATAAAAATAATCATTGAGAAAAAATCTTTTTAGAAGATATAAAAATTATTAGAAAACTAAAAGCTATATGAAACCTAAAATCAGTATTTTTAAGTTTTTATAAGTTCCAAAGATTAAAAACATAAGGTCTTAGGTCAAAAGAAATTTTTTAAATAAGTTCTTGTTCACTTATTGAGAAAACCATTTTTGAGTTCAATTTATTTAGGGTCAAATCTCAAATTCATGATAAATTGCGTTCAAAAGAGGATTTTACAGAGGAAGATATTGCAAATGTATGTTTTTTTTTTGTTATATTTTTTAAATCTATTACTATGTTATGTTATAAAAAATTTTTTAATAATAGTTTACCACATCTAAAAATGGTGCAATCGCTCAGGCAATGCGTAGTGTAAAAAATCCTTACAAAAAGTGTGAAAAGGTTTATCGGTTAGTATGTGTTGTTGTTGAACAGATTAAACAAATGTGCATGCAAGAAGTTGAGAGCAAATGTTACTATGGTGAAGGGTTGAATCATTTAAAACACAGATGGGAAAAACTTCAAAAAGACTTTAAAAATGGAAATGAATTTGATATGAGTTTAATTCCTGATATTTATGACTGCGTCAAATATGATTATCTCCACAATACGTAATGATAATGCTTAATGTTTTATTAAGAAATACTATTTGTTATACATAAAATGTATGACCATTATTTTGTTTACATAGGTCTATAAATTTACAAAAACTTCCTGAGCTTTACGCTGATACTAAATCTCTTGCAGATATAGTCATTCCTCAGGTACTATTCTGGAAATTATTTTATTTGTTTTAATTGTTTTTAGTTTGTTTGTTTGTTTTTTTTAAAAAAAGAGCTGTTGCTAAATTTTTCCACCTCATAAACTTGTTTGTAAAAAAATACAAAGTTGTTTTCAAAATCTATTTTCTTTTAATTTAATATTAAAATATTATGAAGTATTATGAATAAATATATTTTTATCTATTTTATGTTTTTAATAAAAAAGCAACTTGTTTTTTTTTTCTTAATAGGAATACGGAATTACTAGTGAAGATAAAATAAAAATATCAAGAGAGATATGCAGCGACTTATTGTTAAAAATAAAATCTGATCTGAATTCAAATGTTATACCACAAGGGAACAATTTAGATCCATTGTAAGCATTTCATCTCAAAGTATGTACTTTTGCAGTAGGTTGTACAGTTGAATACAGTTTAATAATATTTATCTGCATTTTTAGTAAACTTCACATTCAAAGCATCAACTTTAAGCTAAAGTATATATATATATATATAATTATTTAGTGCACTGCGTGATATTGATTCGCCTAATAATCATGTGAGAACTCGTCTATATATAACCAGTGAAAGCCATGTCCATTCTTTAGTAAATGCGCTTAAAGAGGGAAAATTGTTTAAGGTTTGCTGAATAATAATTTTTTTTATTCAGAAAATATATTTTACATTCCTATTTTTATTTGTTTTGTAGATGATTTTTTTTGTTTATATCATATAAATTTTTTAGGGTTCTGAAGATTCAATGAGCAAGCAGGCATTAGCTATTCTGAATAATACTGCAGAACTTAATTATCTTACACAAATAGTAATTATGAAGTATGAAGACTTAAAAGTTGATCCACAATCTGATGAGCGCTTTAGAATTGAAATTTTATTTTCGTAAGTAAACAAAAAAAAGTAGTTATAGTTTTTTTTTTTTTAAAGGTTTGCATTGCATGCTAGTTTTTTAAAAGGTTTGCATTGCATGCTAGTTAAAAAATCCTTCTACTAAATGGAGACTAAATGGAATGGAAAAAATTTCAAAAAAATAAAAGCAAATGAAACTTGAAAATGATTTTTTTTTTTTTTTTAGCTCTGGTGTAAAATGTCCAGTAACTCCTGATGATGTTTTAAAGTTACACGAAGAGTCAAAATCGAATAATTGTGAATACATAATAAAAAAGTTTGTTGAAGAAGACTCAGTTTTACTGGAGATGGCTTGTGATGAGCAAAAAGCTGGTTAGTCATTTTAAAGAGTTGCATGTGTTTAAGAAATTTTATTTATTCTTCAAAAGTATTTTATGTTTTAGGCAAAGTGCAAAAACATGTAAGAAAGTTTTAAATTAAAAAAATATATAACAAAAAAATAGTCAAGACAATTGTTTGTTTTCTAGGTTTCAGAAAATAAATGAAATTATTTAGAATAATATTGTGTTAAGATGAGTAATATTCAATTTTCTTTGAATAATCAAGGTCAACTTTATAAAAGCTATCAGATCCATTTCTGTGAGAAAAAATATTTTTGATTCTATAGGAATTATTTAGTTAAATTCAATGAAATCCATATTCTCTGAACAGTTATGTTAATGAATTTAATATTTATTATTGTTATATTAAATATACTTATTTAATTTAATAATGTTAGGTAAACTTTATATAAGCTAAATTTGTAAAACTCAAGGTTCAACCAAGTGTAACTTGCAATTGAACTCCACACCTCAAAATTGAACTCTGCGCACCAAAGTTGAACTCCACACACCTAAATATATTATAATACATGTTCTGATTATTTAGGTTAAAAATTAACATAGATAAAAATCACAGAAAAATTATTGAGTTTGTAATTTATCTATTAATTATGTATCAAAGTTTAAAGTTTTTTAGTTTGATAAAAGTCTATACCCTTAAATTTAGTTTGAATTTAGTATTTATATATGTTTTTTAAATTTATGTTATTATATACAATAAACAAAATAATAATGTGCTTTAATTGTCAACTATCAGTTTTAATTTATACGTCTAAAATAACACCATTACTTCTTACCCTTTAGTTACAATTAAGAGTTTTTAACTAAAAATGAATCAAAATGTTTTGCATTATGTGTTAACGATAGATCAGGCCAGAATAGGTATTGTCTATCAGAATGATGCTCTTTGATGAAATGAATGAGATATCTTGATAAACTTATTTACATAGATACTTAATTTTAGAAAAGTTAGATTTATCTTTTGTTAGCAGTTGGCACCTGTTATAGTTTTAAAAGAGTATTAATAATGTTACAGATGCAAATTATTATGTAATAAACATAAAAATTAATAATATTTGTATATTCAATATATGAGATTTGTGATTATCATTTTTTTAATATTAGTTTTTAATTGATTTTTCAATCATTTTATATTAAGTTTACATTTTATTATTTAACCACTTTAATGACAGTTTTAGGCACCATGATAATGATTTTAACCTTCTTTATGATGATTTTTCATGTTTTCATTAGAAAATTGTATATTTATTATTTAGCTGAACTAAAACAAAAGGCAAAAACTAAAGTATTTGCGGAATTACGTCGTGGTGGAAACATTATTGATAGTTTTCCTTCAGGTATTTAACTTCTTTTTGTCAAAAAAAAATTTCTTACACATCCTAATGTTCAAGCATTGTTATGAGAATTTCTTATTTAATTTTGTATTTATAAATTTCGGCTAATGCATCCAAATAATTTTAATTGCTTTTTGAAAGGGGTTGTATTTTAATTTTTACAAATAGGTCCACGAATAAGACCACGAAGAGGAAGTGGAATAGTACCTAGCTTTGAGCCATCAAGTATAATAACTACTGAGAACCGAGTTCCCTTTGATGGTAAGAAAAAAAAATAATGATAATAATAATAATAATAGTAATATATATATAAATATATATATATATATATATATATATATATATATATATATATATATATATATATATATATATGTGTGTGTGTGTGTGTGTGTGTAATAGAATCTTTCGTCTTCCTGCTGACAAATCAATAGAATCTTTCGTCTTCCTGCTGACAAATCTTACATAACTTTTTGGATTCAGGTGGCATGGAATCTTTTATTCCCTCTCGACGACTCCAAGTCAAGCCTCATGGTTTTCCTCACATTTCCTCACTCTTCCCCATGGTTTTCCTCACATTGTGCTGCTGGAATTTTTAATCGAAACCATTACTTCCATAACTACCAGCAAAACAGTTATCCAGCAAGCAGACGTCTGATACAATTAGAAAAATAGAAACCATTGTAAAAAGGTTTTATCTAGCGCCAAAGCCCACTATTAACAGGTCATGAAATCTCGTATTTCATCTCAAAAGTTAGGCTCTCGTGACTTCTAGAGAATCTTTAACAGTATCAATAATAAGGGCAAATCTGTTATTCCATCTCTTTAGTATGGTTTAGATTTTGTCACCTTGCACTTTGCCACCTTTTTTCATCGAACATCAGTAAAATCCTCTATAAATCTTATAACTCTCGTAAATCCTCTAGCAACCTTATAACTCCGGACCTAATGGACATGACTGCGCAGAGAAACAAGTCTAACTTTTTTTAACTTTCAAAAAAAAAGGTTTAAAGCAGAAAGTATATCTGGTTCTGAAAATATTTAATAACCTTATTTTTAATAAATTCTTAGTATATATAAAGATTACTTACAGTTTCTGTTTCTCTCTTATGTATAGAAGTATTAGAAATGCTTCCCAACCTTCATCCTTTACAAGTTCTTCATAGTTGTTTGCGTCAAAAGCAATTGAATTATTTTATTGATCACATAACTGAAGGATATAAAAATGAACAGTTAAGTGCTTGGAAGAAAAAAAAGTGAAGGGAAAAAAAAGATCAGCTAAGTGTTTGGAAGAAGAAAAAATGAAGGTCATAACAATGAATAGTTAAGTGTTTGGAAGAAGAAATAAAGGATATAAAAATGAACAGTTAAGCGCTTGGAAGAAAAAAATTTGAATGGTATAAAAATAAACAGTTAGGTGCTTGGAAGAAGAAAAAGTATTCAAGCGTTGTAAACAAATATTTTTTGATTTTTAGAAATCAATTTTTAAAAAATTGTAAAAGCTGGTTGTAAATTTGTACATTTGAGTCATATAATTTTTTTTTTAATATTTATGAAAAGTACTTATTATTTTTAATATTTAAGGTTTGTCAACAAATCGATTCTTTCTATTTTTTGTTAATATTGCGTTGATCAAAATGTAACACAATTTTATATGTAAATAAAAAAATTATTTCAATGTAAAAAGTTTTTTAATAGTAACAAAGTTGTTGACGCTTTTTTAAATGGAAACAAAGTTGTTGACGAATTTTTGATTTAAAGTTAATAAATGGTATTTGTTTTTAATTTTGTTCTAAAAATAGTTACCATAATAACAGTTTAGAATTTTTGATTTAAAAGTTAATTATGGGGCACTCCACCCCAACACTTCTTGAAGTCGTTATAGATGTAGTCTATATAAAGTATTACTATAAGAAATGAAAGTATAGTTTTGTATTATTGAGACCGTTGCTAACTAAATTGAATATGATTTTTCCCAAATTTTTGGGAGCGAGTATTTCTTCGTTTTATTTTTAAATACTCTCCTCGTTCAATATTTATCGTTTTGTTATTTATACTTTTCTCGTTCTATTTTTTGTTGATAATTGTAATAGTAAAAACAAAATTAAGCGTGCGAGAAAGGTTTTTTGACTTTGGGGTAGCTGTTTAATTTTAAACTTTTTTAATTTCATTTTAATTTTTGAAAATTTCGATTTTTTTTTTCACTTGATATTAAAGGCTAGAATAAAAAAAAAGCAGTTTGAAATACTAATTAGGCACAAATTAACTGTGTGATAATTTATTTATTCGGCAATAAAACCTTAAGCAACTAGTTACTACGCATCATTTAACATTGACTCATTAAATACAGGTGGTGTAGTATATTTCGTTTGAGTGTGTCGATTTTCGGGGGAAAAAATTAAGATTGGGATCAATATCTAGTTTTAAAACTAGACGTAGGCGATTTGTCTCCTTAAATTATAGCCTAGTTTCTCAAGCCAATCTGGTTTTCATGTACAAAATTAATGAAGCATTAAATATTTTTACGAGCATTTTTATGAGGTTAAACATTTTTTTTATTTAAATATTAGTTAAAAACATTTTTATATTATTATTATTATTTATTTCAGTGATCAAATACAAATACAATAATCCATTTATAATTTGATGAAGAGGTGCTACACCAGGCCCCTCTATGCTGACGAACATGGAGATACAGACGCTACAGACAAAGCAGCAGTTGTATCTATAAAATTACTTTCTTATGCTGTTTTTGCATTTGATGGCGTTGATGGATTGAGCGTTCGCTGCTTCTTGCGAAAGCGCATTCCATGGGGTGACAATTCTGTTTGAAAAAAAAATTATATCGCTCCTCACAGTTTTTTACCATCTGACGTTCTAGTTTATGGTTATGGCCTTTTAGAATATACTTATCTTTACTTTTTGAAAATTTTTGCGGGACGACAAAACTGACAAGCTTGAGTTTACGAGTGATTTTAAATTGCTCGATAAGATCTGCTCTTTTTCGGCGTTCTTCAAGAGTTGTTAAACCGAGCCGTTGGAGTCGATCTTCATAGGAAAGGTGTTTAATAGTAGATATTGTTTTTGTTACTCGTTGTTGGACTTGCTCGAGAATGTCTGATTTTAAATGCGGTGACCAGGCTTGTACAGCAAACTCAAGATGGGGGCGAATGTAAGTGAGATACAGAGTGCGCCATAAATAAAAACTGTGACTGCGAAATATTTTTTTGAGTCACCCTAGCATTCTATATGCTACTGATGCGGCTGACTCTATTTGCGGTCTGACTTTAAGATCATTCGAGACCAACACACCAAAGTCACTTTCGACTGCAGTTTTTTCGAGAGGACGACGGGTGCCGTCGACGTTAGACATTGAGTATTTGTACGTCGACTTGTTACATCCGCGCCCAACATGCATTACTTTGCATTTCTTAACGTTGAAATGAAAGAGCCAAATGTGTTACCATTCCACTGCTCTGTCAATGTCATCTTGGAGAGTGATGCTGTCCGACTCCTTTTTAATTATCCCTATTATTTTGTTGTCGTCGGCAAACAGTTTCATATGATGAGTAATTCTGTCCGGCAGGTTGTTTACCAAGATTACGAATAGCAATGGGCCCAAGACTGAGCCTTGAGGCACTCCACAAGTGACTGCTTTCCATTCAGAAGTAATGCTGTTTATAACCACTCGTTGACAACGATTGTTTAGCTAAGCTGCAATCCAATCAACGAGAGCGCCTTGAACACCGTACGCTCTCAGCTTATGAAGGAGGCGTTTATGTGGTACTTTGTTGAACGCCTCTGCAAAGTCTGTGTAAATGACGTCTACTGCGTGTCTGCAGTGAGTTGCTTCCGTCATGATATCCCGAGTTTCTGAAAGGTTTGATACGCATCCCTTACGATGAACAAAGCCATGCTGGTTTGGAGAAAATAGACCATTAACAACGCAGTGTTCCATCATTCTTTTTGTAAAATACTTTCCATAATTTTGCAAGGTATGAAAGTGAGCAAGACTGGCCGGTAGTTGGATGGTTTTAGCCTACTCCCCTTCTTGAAAATAGGTGTTACATTCAGTTTTTTCCACAAGTCAGAAACTACACCAGTTGCAAACGAGCATTTATAGATAAGCGAAAGAGGCTTGGCAAAGGTAGCTGAATCTTTACTGAGGAACCGTGGATGTAAGCCATCGTTGTAAGTAGCCGTAGCCATAGCATCGTAGCCATCGTTGTAAGCCATCGTTGTGATGTTGCTATTGACTGTTTCAAGCGATGTAATATTGTTACTGACGCTCTGCTCGCTTCTTATATGTGCATGTAAGCGTTTAGAGTTGCTTTCGGAATCCCTGACGAGTAACTCTTCGTACTTCTGCCTACCAGCTTTGACCATTTTTTTAACTTTTTTTCTGGCAGTCCGATGCGATATTTTGAGAAATTTGTGCGTATCTCGACCTCCATTTATGTACTTGGTCCAAGATAGGTAGTGATCAATGTGATACATTGAATAACATTTTGATCATTTTCGTCGTGTGGACGATATAAGCAGCCGAGGAGAAATGATTCTTGACCAAGTTTTATTTTTCGCCAGATTTTCTCAATTGATGTTGAGTTGAGATTAGTAGAACTAACTTCACTGACTATGATATCGCCTCTTGTGTAAATTGCAACTCCACCGCCCCTATTGTCTTTGCGATGTGGTTGGTAGCTGGGTACGGCAACGTCTGATAAATCTGTGAACCGAGTTTCCACAAAAAAAATGACGTGTGGCCGGCTGAATTTATGTAGAGTTGATAGTCTAGCAAAGAGCTCTTGGCGTTTTTCATTGTTGAGTGAACATGGGTTGTTTGCCCAGTAAGATAGATGGCTAGGTGAAACTGTAGAAGTGTCGGATTGCATCGGTTTTATTTTTGCTTTAGTTATTGGTTTAGGACGTCTAGTTGGCAGTGGAGATTTCTGAGTTAGGAGCGGCTGTGCGGCTAGTGTAGTCTGAAAGAGCTAGGGATGAAAATACAAAGAGAGATATTTTCTTAAAACTCATATAAATTTAAATTTATACGAGTTTATTTATTATTATACGAGAAATTACTTAAATTCAACGGATTATTATTTACAAAATTGCAACTAAAATTTACATACAAAACTATTAATATATTGAGAATTTGTAAAAACATTCTTTATTGGTTTGTTATATACAAGTTGACTTAATATAACACATGTCGCAACCACTACTAAAACAAGTTTTAGTAGTCGTTGCGACATTTTACTCTTACCACGAGAGGCAGGTTAGAACAAGGATATATTATATAAACTAGGTGTCTAACTTGCGGGATTTTTATTAGATAAAAAATAAAACCGCTTTTTTTTTGCTTATAACAATAGTCCGCCATTTGTAAAAAGGGCAAAAGCTGAAGCCAAAGTGTGGAATAAAAGCTAAAAATGCAACTCAAAAGCCTCCAATAAATTAAAAATAATTAAAAAACAAACTTTAATAATTATAAAATACTTATAAAAGTTTTTTTATGAGCCTATGTTTATTAAAAAGTATTTTAATTCATAAAAATGCTTCAAAACATCTGTCGTTTTACTTCTCTATTCAAAACTTTATATCCTTTTTAATCGAAAATAAATTTAAGAATCATAAATTAATATTTTACAAGTATTCTAATTTCCGCTCAACACTTCTACATAATTAGTATTTAAATTAAAAATATATTTACTTCATACAAAAAAATATTTGTTTACAAATTTAATCCGCCATTTATAAAAAGGGCAAAAAGCGGCTTCATATTTCGTATCGAACTTAGACATCTTGTTTATATAATATATCATTAGGCTAGAAAGACTCCAAACAAAACTTGCTGCTTTTTTTTTTTTTACACTACCAGTCTACCATACCTCAAGAGTATGTTGAACTCAACTTTTATGTCCATAATTGTGATGGAGGTGGGAGGACAAAAAATGGGGAAAGGGGCGAGGAAATAAAAGACATTGCTTTTCCAAACTTTTTATGGCGCTTACTGACAATAAATAGATTAAAAAGGTTTTTCCTAATTAGAGGGCACAGCTTTTTGCCCATTGACCGTGACTTCTCAACCATAAAAAAAGAGAGTTAAGAAGGCATGACAGAGTGTACAACGTTCAAGAAATTAAAAAAGAATTATAATAAAAAGTAGTAATCAAATAAATTTTTTAATCGTTAATGAAGAGAGTTTATCTCTGGTTTACCATGTTAAAAGTTGGCTGCCAATCCACTATAAAAGAAACAAATCAAAAAATTTCGCTACAAATTTCTCTCGGTGTTTTGATGTTTTTAGAAATTTTATATCAACTAAATGTTGCTAATTTTGAATTAACAACTCTTGGAAAGGTAAATGTTAAAAGGGCGGAAGTCCAACATATATATATATATATATATATATATATATATATATATATATATATATATATATATATATATATATATATATATATATATATATATATATATATATGTATATATATATATATATATATATATATATATGTATATATATATATACATATATATATATACATATATATATATACATATATATATATATATATATATATATATATATATATATATATATATATATGTATATATATATATATATATATATATGTATATATATATATACATATATATATATACATATATATATATATATATATATATATATATATATATATATATATATATATATATATATATATATATATATAAATATATACATGTATATATTATATATATAATTGGCTGGAGCAAGAAGAAGGCATAAATTAGCCTTATCACCGAGCCCCAAAAGTAACGCTAATAAATATCCGTAATATATAATAAACCGCAATGTATAACCAACAGCGTTTAAAAAAAGATAATTTTAAGAGATTTAAAAAAAAAAAAAAATTACAAAAATTTTCTGTTTTTGGTTATAAACTGTACTTGATTCGATATATTTTTTAATTTAGTTTTTTTTTTTTT